AGTTGAGCCCGCCGCTAGGCATCCATTTGTTGGTAAGCATTTTCATGTAATGGCCAGATAAATTGCTTTATGACCTCTCCGAGCTCAACTCCCAAATTGACGATTTTTTCTTTTCCAAATCTTCATCGCCATTTTTCTCAACCAATGCGCCAGTACTTCACATTTACTTTGAAAAGCTATGGATTGCAATTGGAAACAATTTGCTCGACTGCATGGCTGATGGATTCATTTCCATCACCAAAGTACCAATCCTATATGCTAACCCACCTATCTTAGTGCACCGTTGCCGGTAGAGCACTGATGGCGTTAGAAACGGAAGAAATTGCTTCCATCCTCAAGTCAAGAGGAGGTCCCTCAGCAATCCAAAGGCTTTCTCGCGTTCAAAGCGTTATCAAAAGCTTCTACGTCGACAAGGTATGCACCTGCTAGTATTTCCACAGACAAAGTCCGAATATTTCTCAGCACAGACCACATCATCGAGCCTGTCCAGCAGATTGGGAAAATTGTTGAAAAGCACCTCCAGGCGCACACCGGGGTTTCCCTGACATATTTATCACAGCCGGAATTGTAGTGTATATATAAAGCGCATTGATAATCAGGCTTAGGATATATGCAACTTGCAGTAATAGTAGGCATGAGGCATCAACATTTCGTTGCAAAGTTAGCATTCAAGACTTGCATGGCGAGCCAAAAATCTTATTTTTGGCAATCTTGATGTTCGGCCCTGCAACCTTTGCCTTTTTGGTTTGATTAGGATGTAAGGCCCAAGTTTTCCTCCTCCAATCGACTTACCCGGAGTATCTATGCCTGTGTTATCACACGGTGGCTTGAGTGGGATTTTGCACCAGAATCTTGAGGTCAATCGACTTTTTATTGCGGCGCTAGCCATGATAATGTGAGAGAGGAAGGGGTATAAGCAGAGTTTTCACATCGCCTATTTGAAAGTTTACCACAGAAGCATGAATAGCTGAAAATTACATCCCAGAGCGATATTGGCTTTCCTCCCGGAATCGGAGTCGCAGGCGAATCAACAACTAAAGCTGACGAAAAAAGCCAGTTAGCATTCTAACAAATGAGAACCTTTAAATGCCCATCAAACTGGCCTTTTAAACCGGGCTTGCTGGCCTTTTAAACTGGGCTTGCTGGCCTTTTAAACCGGGCTTGCTGGCCTTGTAAACTGGGCTTGCTGGCTTCGTATGTTTGTACTGTTTGCGGATGCCGGAAACACAATGGAAAATGACCAATTAAATTGGGATGTAGTTTCTGGCTCCTCGTTTTTATTTTGTAACGGCTACTTGGCGTCCCGGATGCAACTTTAATTTGTGTTTTATTTGCTAACGTTTACCAAAAAAAGAAGCCGCTCTATTTACAAAGTATTGCGATAACCTAGGACAGACGGTTACTCAACTTTGCCTCTTATTTCAGATTCGTCTTTACTTATCATTCGAAACTCGGCGCGCACCCCATAAGAGTCAACCTCAACAGGGAAAAGCAGCGGACAAGGAGGGCTAGAAAACGAACTAGAGCCGGAAATAATTTTTATAAAGGAGTCTCGCTCACTTTGATTTGGAAAGACGTACAGAGCACAGCCACCGCCTCCAGCCCCAGTTATTTTAGAAGCAAATGTGAATGAACCACTTTCATTTCCAAGCTTTTCAATTTGACCTCGTAATTTGATGAATTCTTCAGAATCAACATCCAGTCCATATGGATTTGAACACGATAAAAGCTCTTGATTTTTTGAAATAAGCTTGGCCAGACAAGCAAAGTCCAGGATCCCGTTTTCGGTTAAAAATAAATCTAGCGCCCTCTCAACAACGCTACCAATCGAATCAATGACTGCGTCAAATGATGCAGCATCGGAGTCTTTAAACTGCTTGACCCTTGCAACCATATCGCGAGTATTCCGCGAAATTCCAGAATATAAAATTGCCATCGAAAATTTCAACGATGAAGACTGCAGCGAAAATTGGCGCACCGAGATGGATTGTTCCAAATGGTGACTATCCATGGCGAAAAATAAATTTTCATTGGGCTTTCTGGAAAAGCGGATTGATCCTCCAAGCGTGCAGATTAACGGATCCAACCCGGAAGATGTGCCATGAATTATGGTCTCAGAAATATTGGACCAGGTGAAAATGTCCCCATCACAAGATATTAGGGAGAAAACAGATGCCACCAAAGCAGCCCCAAATGAGGCGGATGATCCAAGGCCAGCCCCTACCGGAATTTGCGTAAAGGTATGAAAAAGAACAGCACCATCTTCTTCCACAAAAGGACAGAGAAAAACGGCAGAAAAGAATAAAATAGACATTATGCCTCCGTTAGGAAACAAATTGCCTTTTTTTACAAAGGACACCGGTTTTAACGACGAAAGCAGAATGTTTACGAGCGAAATAGATTCCTGCTTCCAAAGACGGTAATCTGTCAGCGATGAATTCCTCTCAGTGCAAAAAATTTTCAACTCGTTATGCAGTGATTTCAAATCTTTCACACAGATATGGGCAATTGCCGATGCATCCACCTGGTTTGGAACCGTTCCGATGCCAAAGGCGAGCATCGGTTTGTAACCGTCAATTGATGCTGCGTGGGTTAAATTGGCCCTGTCTACATGAGTGCCAACTTCATAACAAGCATTCGACTTGACTTCTTTCCTTTGGTCAAAATCCCCGAGTTCAATGCCAGTATTCTGCTGTTCCCGGTATGGGTTACCCTTCTTGTCTTCATCAGCGACGTTGCTTTGCTTTCCGGAACACAACTCTGTCCGAACAACTGTCCGCAAGTTAAGTGAAGTGGCAATCGCAGGCTATGCAGTTAGTGAAACCTCCCCCCACAATACCTTTCCATAAACCACAGAGTGCTCTCCAAATAGGATCACTTTGGCTGGTGCACTTGCTTCTGCAAATTTGGGCATTTTGAACTTTTGGCGCGGCTGTATAATTAGCGGACGAAAAACTTAAATTTCGCAATTCGGATCAAAATATCGTGCGTTTGAGATGGAGCGCAAAATCAAAGAGCCTTCTGACATGGCCCTTTGGTACGCATCGCCAGCCTATGGCGATATCACCGATTTCTTAAAATCTTGCAATACCCAGCTGGCGGGCAAGACCCTAAGTGCCCTTGCAACTTTCAAAGTATGTCAATATCCCGCTCTTCGTTTAGGAGCCCTCCATTCTTTCTCAATACTTTTCCATTTTGGATGACATCAAAGGCCTTGCAGATTCAATTGCACTAGATCCGCCTTTGGCAACAAGATATGGAAATGCGGCATTCAGGCGCTTCATTTCAGCGGTCGAGTCAGATGTGCTACCAAAAATAGCGGATCTTGAACTGCGGACCTATCTGCTTGAAAGCTTTGGAAATCCACTCAGGATCGATTATGGCACTGGTCACGAACTCATGTTTATTTGCTTTCTTACTATTCTTTGGAAACATCTCAACTTTGCGTATCAATCTAAGACGGCATCTGAGGATCAAATCCTGTTCCCCTGTACCAAGTCAGGAGATCAACTGTCGCTGATGGACAAGCCTTCTATCAAAGAAGCGCTTGACATGCTTCCGCTTCTTTTTTCCAGGTACCTGGAAATATGTCGCTGCATCCAACTTCGTTTTCGCTTGGAACCCGCAGGCTCACATGGTGTGTGGGGACTCGATGACTTTCAATTTATTCCATTTCTTTGGGGCTCTGCCCAGCTCATGAATGAGGCTGAAGAATCTTCAATACCCCCGAGCGCCGCCGTTCCGAAAGATAGCCTCTCCATTGCCATGATAGAGGAGTTGAGTCAGGACTATTTCTACTTTGGCGCTATCAATTTTATTTGCACAGTAAGTCCCCTTCTTGCAGGCCAACTTTAGGTCAAACCTGTGGGGTTTTTCGCGCAGCACTCACAGATGGTGTACAATATCTCAGGCCTGGATTCCTGGACAAAGATAAATAGTGGGTTGATGAAAATGTATTTCAAAGAAGTCTTGGGGAAGCTGCAAGTCGTTCGAATGATGCCTTTTGGCACGGAACTTTGTTGGCACAAGTCCTCGCCTTAGTGATAAAATGTTGGCATGCAAATGTTAGCCAAGATATTTGCATCAGCACAATCAAAGGGATAACTGGCAAAGCTATAAATATACCCCATAATGGATGGGCTACACAAGCTAAGGTTGCTGGATTATTTATTAACATCGACCTGGTCTTTCTGGAGTATTGTCTCGATGTGACGTCCAGTTATCTGATGATACAACTCCTTGACATCTGCACACACAGACTCAAAATGACTCGATGAGTCGTAGGAGCGGGAGATGAAAAGATTTTGGGGGCAAGAGCTGTTCTTTGCCGGCACGCAATAATTGGAGATGAAGACAAAGCTACAATCAACTCAATGGTAGAGGCTTACCATTCCAGAACTGGACCAAGTAGTGCTAGCGCTGATGAGATTTCATCAATAGGGTCCAAGTGCTCCTGTTCCTGCAACGTGCTAATATAGGCAAGGAAAAAAGGAGACGGAGCCACACCATGTGCATGTGAAAGCACCGTTATATACATATCTAGCGATAACCCAAAGACATGGCCTACCTGATAGCCGAAGCAGCTCGCGCTGTGGGATGATAATTTGTAACGAGTCAATACCCCCTGTGTGCGGCACTGGGCCAGGTAGGATACAAACGGCTCGAATGATTTTTGATTTTGTTTCCACAAATGAAGGAAAATATGAAGGATCTCCGATCACTCCTCGCCTGCACTGAAACGTACCGATGGGAGAAGATAAATTTGCTGCTGGATGGCTGTTAGATGCTTCTTTTCCAGCACCATTAGAATGTACTTCCACAGGAACGGTCCGCACCCCGGAAATAACCTGACCGTGCTCATTTGCTTGTTCAAGCAGCACAACGTCACCTACATTAAGCATGTAGGTGCCTCCATGAACTGCGCCCAATCTGCGTGTGAGAATAACCCTCTCACCTTGCAAATGCCTGGGAAAGGTCGCCAAGACCGAAAAGTGGGTAAATGAATGGAGATTTCCCAAATCTTGTTACCGAATTCATATAAAGAGCGATGGCATTGCATGTAGGAAGAGCCTCCCGTGTGAGATATCTATGCCATCAACGAACATCCTTACGAATCATCGCTTTGTAATGCTAGAGCGTGGCCAATAAAGTCCTGAGCGCTCCTAGCAAGCCCGTATTTTTCATAGAGGGCGGCCATCGAATAAGTGGCTAGTTCTAAAAGTAAATGCAATGGTCAATAGCTGGAAAACATATAATAATTGGGCAACAACCAGAAAATGACATGCTCAGGTTGAAGAATAGGAAAATTGCCTACGAGAACATACTTTTTTTTTCTTCCTCTCCGTGCTCAGCAGAGGAGCTCCTCCGTATAAAGTCGAAAAACTTGTATGCTCGCCGCTTCTCGAACAATCCGAACAGGGGAGAGAGAACTGTTTCCATCTCCGTTGCAGGTACTTTGTATATGTGTCCATCACGATACACAAAGGCGCCATCGATTTGACGAAACTCTAGGTATTTTGTCACCGTCGTCAAGGCTAGAATTTGTGCAAAATCGCCTGCTGCCATCAGAAGCTTGGGAACGGTGTCGATGTAATACTCGCGTGGAGGTCCAAGGAGGGCGCCCCCTTTTGCGGTGTACTTGGCAGGCAATTCGGCGTTCAACAATTTTTCATAAATCTAGAAAAGCATATAACGCAGTGTGCTACTTGGCCAATTGAGAGCGATGTACAGGCACCTCCGTAATATGAGTTGCGGTCAATATGGAGGATGCGATGGCCCTCCTTGGAAAGAAGGCTGCTTATGATGCACTCTACCAATCCCGTTCCTAGTACGATATAGTCATATTGGTTCGTATCGCCATTCTGGGCCATTAGCAACGTAAGTGTCAAACCATATGGAAGAATTGTAAAAAATTAAGGCAAAAAGTAAATTTTATTGGGCCGCAAATTCAATATAACCCGGTCTCCTCATATGACACGTGAGTCATGATACGCAGTGCGTCATTCATCTAGAAATAAGCAAGTATTTCAGAATATGCCAGCAGGCGGTTGAACCATGAATTGCTCTTAAGACCGTCGTGATAATAGTCATCATAATTGTACTCACCTTTTACAAATGTACATGCACGGCTGGCAGTTCCGGAGAAACTCAGCTGACAGGCTCAATTGATATTTTGTGAGCTGGCTAAAGCACTCTCAAAGGAGATTATGCGATATGGGAAACGGTCTATTTTGCAAAGTATGAGGATTGCCTAAGTCTCAGCAAAAATACAACATCATGGAAATGAATCAGACATATGCTTGTCTCTTATTTTTTTCGTCATCAACTTACTAAAAGTAAGAAAGCTAGAAAGAAGGGATAATAGTTGTTTTGTCAGACAGCATGAATGGATATTGTGTTATTTCATCATCATGAAATATGGCTCGTCATCTTGTCATCATTCAAATGTGAAGAAAGAAACTTACCTTTAATTAGTAGCACACTACATAAGAACTGCTTGTGATGATGGGTTCCCAAAAGCTAACCCCAGGCAATTCTAAAATAAGACTCGGCCAAAAAGTATCATCAAATGAAATATCAGCACCCAGTGCTCAATTGTTGTACATCATTGTCTTACCTATAAGTAAGATGATGATGATGAGAATGGAAAATGATCGTATGTCAGAATAGCCGCAAAATTTCATCACTAATCAGCCGGTAATTCCAGCGTATAACGTATGATAGCAATCATCATTCACACGAGAAAACGGGTAGGATTCATACCTAAGCATAAGGAAATGCAATCAAAGTCAGAATATAAATGAAAATCACTAGATTCAGATACTCTAGTCCGAATATATATAGTTGTGCATCACTCCTTGAATGATTCCTACCTTTGGTTTGATAAAAAATTAGTAATCTACAACTCTTACATTAAAAATACCAGGGTCCTCACACAATGCTTAATTTAAATTTAAAATTTTAAAGTTTGATTGGTTTGGGGATGTTCCATTTTGAAATTTTTTTGATATTGCAATGCCCCAATTGGGTTAGTTATCCTCGAATAATATGCCGTTTTACTTTATTTAACCTTTTCCTTTCTAGTCACGCATAATTAAAGAAATGGGAATCAGCTCGATTATTGAAGGTCAGGTGTACATGAAGGAGAGAAGGAGCTTTTTCCGCGAAAACTGGAACAAAAAATATCTTGTTCTCAGAGAATCCACATTGGGCATACATAAGGACAAGAGCGATACAAATGCTGTCTTTGTACTGCTCCTAAACGACGTTATCAATATCGATCGGCGGTCAAATAGGCCCTATTGTTTAGAGTTGCAATTGGCCAGCTTAAAGCGATCTATGATGTTTGCATTTGATTCTGAAGAAGAAATGGTTAAATGGATGAACTCTCTAAAAAAGGTTTGGCGTTTGAAATATTATCCGTGATTTACGCTATGCTTTTTCGATTGCTTTTCTTACCATCTTAGTATTGTTCAAAGCTGGCGTGTGTCTCTGGTCCCACTTCGTTCCGCCACAACTTGCACATTGGGTTTGATCCGAATACAGGATCGTTTACGGGGCTCCCAGAGTCATGGAAGAGAATGCTGAAGGCCTCGAGCATTACAAAGGAGGATATCGAATCGAACCCAGATGTAGGTCCATTGCATATTTATATGCCTTTGTCTAGGTCGTCTTAGATGTGCTTGAATTTTATACAAAAGAGCAACACGCGGATGCGCAAGCAGGCGTAGAAAAAGAGGAAAAGCCAAAGCCATCATCTCCAGATCTTCATATGAAATCTCCAGGTTCCTCGCCTGAATTTGACTCGACCCACGATTCCATGGTAAAGGTGCCAGTTGCCGACGAGCTCCCATATATGGTTGCTTTAAGGCAATTGTGCACCCCCGGAAATCCCGCCGAAATTTACACAAAATTAAAGAGGATTGGCCAGGGTGCTTCTGGAGAAGTTTTTGTCGGCCAAGAGAAAAAAACCGGCGCCCTTGTGGCAATTAAGCAAATGGATATGAGGTATCAACAAAAACCCGCGTTGATTATAAACGAGATTTCGATCCTCAAAGCCTCACACCATCCAAATATTGTCAACTACTTGGACAGTTATCTGATGGGGTCCCAGCTTTGGCTTATCATTGAATATATGGAAGGAGGGGCCCTTACAGAGCTTCTCGAGTATCGGGGCAATTTGGATGAGCCAGATATTGCCACAATCTCAAATGAGATTATAAAAGGACTTCATCATCTCCACTCGCGTTCGATCATACATCGAGATATCAAAAGCGACAACATCCTACTTGGTGCTGGAGGACAGGTGAAAATCTCTGATTTTGGATTTTGTGCAGAACTTTCTGCAGATCGAAGGAAAAGGGCCACCATGGTAGGCACGCCCTATTGGATGGCGCCTGAAATAATCAAGCAAAAGAGGTATGATGCAAGTGTGGATGTCTGGTCACTCGGTATTATGATGATTGAAATGATAGAAGGAGAGCCGCCCTATCTTTCGGAGGAACCACTAAAGGCGCTCTATCTGATTGCTACCAATGGGAGCCCTACTTTGAGGCACCCTGAGCGAATGTCTGCCCCGCTGATACAATTTGTGGATTCCTGTTTGAAAGTTAATGTGGCTACTAGAGCAAAAACCCAGGATCTTCTTCGTCATCCATTTCTCGTAAAAAATTCACGCGACTCCAAAACGCTGATCCCTCTTTTTAGCTCAATAATTAAAGAAGGCCTAATTTCATGAATTATTTTATTAATAAATTAACAACATGTATGTGTGTTTGCCACTTTGCGGGAAGGTTTGGCAATTTGTAGCACAATGTTTGCTTCATTCTTTCTGTAAATTTTAACTTTTTCGGCATTAGAAAAGAAGCCAACTTTTGACTGTGCTCCTGTTCCAACGCTAAAAATGTGCCGCCATTAAACGTAAAAATAAAAATTTATCAAGACACAAGAAGGGTAGCGTTCGGTGGTATGTTAATGGCATTAATTTATCTGTGTTCCAATTTATACAAACAGAATTAGTAGGCGCTCAGAATATCCTGGCTATCTTCATCCCAATTCTCCGGGTCTACCTGTGCTGTAGGTTCCTCCTCAGTAGGGGGGGCGGGCGTTGGCTTGAGCGGCTTATTTGCTGCTGCAAAATCATCCATCCAATCGCTGTACACATCTATTGGCTGCGAAAGATCTACAATTAAAAATTCCATCGATACAGGTAATCGGGGTCTTGTAGTCTGCCTGGCAAACTTTGCAAATCAGATGGCCAATGTTACGCTGGCGATCCCTACCAAAGTCAGTATGTGTGGAATCTTACAGCTTGCAATCAACCGATTTTTCGTGGTTGCAAATAGGGCATGAGAACATCACATCTAGCTTGCGTTGGTTATTTCTTTTGGCGGCAGATGGAGGGGCCTTTCTTTTTACTTTTCTGCGGACCATTTTGGAAAAATTTGAAATTTAATGCATTAAAATTTATTTAATTTATCCTCTAATAAAACCTTGCTTTCAAAGTATACCAGAGGGGTATGGCCATCAATGCGCGTCAGGTCCCATTTAAGAATTTTTTCAAATGTATCCAGGGACCTCATTTGCTCCCCGATGAGGTTTTGCAATGCCTCCTGTTGAGTGGAGCCATATTGCTCAAGGGTTTCGCATCTATCTGGCTCGGCATATAGTTTGATTGTATCCTTGCAGTTCAAGGCAAATCTTTTCCCCACTTGAGGGTCTCTAAATAGCTTGGAAATGCGCAATGCTCTCCGATAAAGAGAGAGCACCGTAAAACTCCGCATTGAGGGCGGATTCATCGCTCCAGAATAAAAATATTTTACAATTTATAAATTTAAAATTAATCTGGAAGTACAATTTCATAGTTGTTTTTTGGGGCTGGCAGCTTTGAAAGAGCAATGGAGAGCCGCGACCTGACCAAATCAATTGGAGGCCCTTCCTCTCCAATTTCGCTGCCCTCTCTCGAATTTGGCGTAAAACTTCCGGAAAATTGGTCCGCTGGGCGACGAAGCGGAGTTTCTCCAGTCTCAATAACATATTCCCTTGCATCTTCTGTAGAAATGCCAAGCTTCAGCAGCTCACGGACGTCCTTCTCCTTGACTATTGGCGATGGAAGGTTAAATGCAGCTCTTCTGATTTGAAATTGCTCTTGGGAGAGCTGCTTTAGACGAGCCGATTGGGCTGGGGTCAATTTGCCTTGACTGGCAGCCTCTTTCCTTTCGGAAATTTCTTTCTTTTTGGCCTGCTCTTCAGTGGTGTCTCTTTTTGGTTCTTGAGAAAGAGAAGAGACAAGCGGAGACTTTAGTTTGAGAACCTCTTTTTCTCTTTGAACCTCTTCGTTTGTATCAAAAAAGCCAGGCGGTGGTTTTCTCTCAAAGGGAATTTCCGTGTTATAGTTGATCACATAAACGCCGGTACCTTTACCCTTCATCCCGATTCTAGCCTCAATTCCAGCTTCTTTTAATTCTCGCCTCTTTTGGATGAGAGAAAGTCTTCTAGATTCATTCAAAATTTTTTCCCTTGCTTTGCGCTTTGCTTTTTTTCCTTGTGTGTTGGCCAGACGGGCCCTGGCTTCAGAAAGCATCTCCTTTTCGTCATCATCCATATCCACTGGATCAGGACGAGCCGGCCTTGTTTCTGGACACGGGTCAGCTTCTCCAGGACGCAGTCCACGAAGCATGTCAAGGTCTTCGAGCGAAGGAGCGCCTTCAATTAAAAGCTTGCTTTGTGCCGCATCCAACAATTGTTCGTAGTGTTGAAGACATTGATGGGCAGTGCGGCCAACAATAGATGAAATGGTCTGCCATTGCGAAGGGAGCACTTTCGCCAAATGTAAAAGCTTCTCCTCTTCCTCACGTGTCCATTCTGTCTTTTTAATGGCGGGGTCAATCCACTCGTACCAGCGAGCCTTGCACTGTTTTGGCGTTTTTCGAACCAAAAGTGATGAAATACGAGCCCATTGATTACGACCATATTTCATAAACGCGGCTTTAAGAATCTCATCCTCGGTATTGGTCCAAATACCGCCTAAAAATTACTCGACCCAAATCCTACCTTTGATGGGACGGGGCATGATGATTAAATTAAATTTTTTTAATTTTAAAAATTTATCACTTTGCCAATTCATTAATTTTTTTCTTGATCGACGAAATGGCGTCTGCAGCCCAATTGTGGACAGAGATTTGAGACTCCATTATTTTCAATAAATCGCTTCCCGGGTCATTTTCATTGATTAAGTTGGAAAGGTAATTCTTGATCTCCTGCGAGGAGTTATCTACAGACTCTTCAAGCCTGGAAATTTCCAGACCGCAAGATTCAGCAATTGTAAACAATTTGTCCCTTTCAATGTCGGACGAAAGCAGTTGTGGAGGGTTCTCATAATACTTTGCAAGCTCGGTCTCGATACGAGTGAGGGCCTGTTCTAGCTCTGTTTGCTGGCACTCAAGATAATCCAAATTAAGGGTGAGCTCCTTGGCAAGGCCTTCAATGGACACAGTATCCTTGTGCAGTTCAGAAATCTCAAATATTAAACATAACAAAAAGAAACCTTTTTTCCTTGTGCGATCAGAGCATCATCGACTTTTCCAATTGCGAGCGCCTGGCTCTTGAATTCTCGAAGATGAGCATCCAGGTCCTGTGTCCATTTTGTTATGATTTCCTCGATAGACCTATTTTGCAGAAATGAAGAGGGTGCCGTGGCCTGGGAAGACGGGGCCTGCGGGGCCACGCTATGGGCAATCGAGGAGCTGGGGAACATCAAATTAATAATAAATTTGAGCCAAAAGTTGTAATTAACATTGTGCAAGGCCATTTGGAGCCATTTTTTCGGTTTGTCATGCCTTTGACTGTGATGGACGTTTACTGTGCAGGAATCTTAAATGATTCTAACTCTTGTTACTTTAATAGCATCTTGCAGGTGAGGTTTCCACTTTTCTCTCAAGTTCCTAGCATCTTCGCCTTCGCTACGCGAATTCCTCAACATCCTACTCAGAGCCGAATCAACAGCATGCGTGCCCGCGCTGTTGGACTTTCTTTCAAGTAAAAAATCTCTTTCTCTTTTACTTTCTAGAACTAGACCCGTCACCGCATCAGCAGACTCCTCTTTTCCCATTATATCTAAAAAGGCTTTTTTCTATCGATAGGAACTATGCACAGCAGGTTGTCTAATAGCATTTTTGCTCTTTTTTGTATGTTCATTTTTTCGATTTGACATCGTTTATTTTTATCGCTTTTGCATTCGTTTATCTCCAGGACTCGCACGAATTTCTGGTATGCCTTCTAACATCGCTTGGCCAAATTTACGATAATATGCTGCCCGCAATACGAGCAGCGACTCCGCTTCTTTTCAAAGTATTCATTAATTTCGATCCAGTAGCAACTACCATTTACTTGGCTCGCTTCATCGTACATCTTTTGCAAAAATTGCTCGCATGCTGTAAGTCACTTGTCAATTACTCCATTTCCATTTTACTATTTCCATGACGTTTAATTTTTTTGTCACAGGGCGCATTTAGGGCGGAAATGGAAAACATTGTCCCTGTCTATGTGACAGAGTTGACAGAGGCAATGAGCCTCTCCGAAATTCTGGAACAGGGAATTCTGAAGCCTTCTGTTGCATCGCTTGACGGGGCATGGCGATGCGATAAATGCGGCGCTCATGGTTGCGGTTATCGATATACAAAGTTTCTACGGCCACTAGGCAAGGGATTAATCGTTCACATTAACAGGATTTATCAATTTGAGAGAAAAAGCGATCAAAAGATAAAGATCTCAAAAAAGATTCACGTCCGAAACTCAGTTCTTTCCCTTCGTGCAGTGGTGGAGCATATTGGAAACTCTTTAGGCGGACATTATATCTGCTATCGTCGACTTGCAAACGGTCGGTGGGCAATGACCTCCGATGCCACTGTCAAGTATATGCGTGGTCCACCCTCATCGCTGGAACCGTATCTTCTTCTATATGAACCTGTAGCTTAATCACAAAGATAAAAACCAAAAAGGCTTAGATAGATAGACACCCAATAAGGCACGTACCGCAGACGGGCAAACGCTAGGTTGATCCCTTGTATTGGGAAACATCGGACCAACTTATTAAAATTTATTTAAATTGAAATAGCTAATCTCTTAATAACCTATTGCATGCTGCCAGCGGTGCGCAGACTTTCTTCCATTGCGCACGGCCTCTCGCCATCTACGCGGCCAGGCTTCATCAGGGCTGATGAAATAGAAAAGCTCTTCGCATCCATGAAGCTCTTTAATATTTCTTCGTCACCACCAGCATCTGAGGTGAATGGAGAAAACAAGCCGTCTGCAACTCCTGCCAGCCATATGATTCGCAGACCAACAAAGACAGAATTGGCTACTATCAGACTGTTCCCAAAGGGTAGATTTACAGTTTCATTTGTAGTGGTGCAGTTTCTGCGCAACCAGGACTATCCATTTCAGCCAAGGGCCTTGTTACAGCCGCTTTCGAGCACCACATCTTCCGAGGACGATAGCAATCAGCTTTACCTTACCCCTAGCTCGGAAAATTCGCCATTTGCGGCGCCGATTTTCTTTGCCAATGTCAAGAAGAAACGGAAATCACGTATGAATAAACACAAACGCAAGAAGCGCAGGCGGGCTCTGCGCTATAAGGCGTCATCGAATAAATAACGAGGAAAAATAAACATCCATCAACCGAGCTAATTGAAACACCACTAGGATGTAACGGAGACACATCTGTAACTCCCAATTATATGGAAACAAACCAGCAAAAGCCGTTAATTATGCAATCAAATGCGGTAATGGTAATTACGAAATAAATTTACTGCGTCTACTTCATAGGCGGTGGTGGTACGGCTCTTATTGTTTCGTCGACAGAGAGAATAAGAGTAGCAGCCTCCGTGGCCGCAGAAATCATGTTTTCCTTGACGATAGTCGGCTCCCAAACAAATTCTTCCTTGAGATTGGCCACCAGGTCGCCGCCACTGGCAGCTAAGTTGACGCCATAGAAGCGTCCGCTGTAGGGTATCGGCGTGGTTTCTGCGGTGGGGCTTTCGGGCTGCGCGTGCCGCTTGCGGAGCAATGCTAAAACATCGACTGCATCGATGCCAGCATTATAGCAGAGCTGCCGGGGGATGACCTCAAGTGCACGAGCATAGGCTTGCACTACACGTTGCAGACGTGAAGGGATAGCACGAGCAGCCTCTCGAAGAATCCTTGAGAGTGCCATTTCCGTGGCACCACCGCCAACAGAAAGGCGACGGTGGCGCAGCGCGCGCTGAACCACCATTAAAGCATCATGCAATGAGCGCTCTACCTCTGCAATAAATTGATCAGAGCCACCGCGCAGTAGAAACGTTGAGATGGCACTTTCATTGGCAAACCCGGAAAAAAAGTTGAAACGCTCAGCACCAACCTGGCGCTCTTCAAATATAGCACAATGGCCAACGGCAGCCTCCAAAGGCTCCCCGGCGGCTACTGTCGAAACAACGGGAACAACCAAAGCTTTACTCAACCTCTGGAGGTCTTCCATTGGCACACGACCAGCGGAAAAAAGACCACGATCGGCAAAATATTGCGTGGCAACGTCTCCAATGGGAAGTCTTGAGAGGACAACGGTGGCGCCGACTTCCACAATCCGTTCAAGTTTTTGGTGTAGTATTGTCCACTCTCCTTCAACTATCGCAGCATAGTCAGCGACACCCGCGATGCGTAGCTCGGCATTGTCACGTTCAGCCTTGAGCTCCAACTCTACATTAAGAAGCAACACACGGGGATCATCGATGCGCTTTGGTTGCTGCTCGTGACCCGCATAGGAAAAGGTCTTCTTGAAAGCGATTCCATTTACCAGAACAGAGTCCTCCATCGAGCCTCCCGGAATTCGCTTTATACCAGCGTCGCGCGATGAAGTATGCCACGAGGGCTGTTGATTAGTAGAAGGTTGCTCTCGAGACTCATTGTTTATCTCTCTTCCAAGCTCATAATCGACCACTAGACGTGCAAAGTGCGTTTGGGCACTCCGGATAATTTTCGAGTTCATTGAGGTGGAAGCGATGCGTTCCAGCATCTTCCGGTCGTTGTTATGCAGAGGAAAGACCAGACTTGCAAGGCTATCTTCATCTACAAGGGCCTGTTGTGCCAGGGTAGCCGCCATACGAAAACCTCGGATGATGGCCCGTGGTGCCATTCCATCCTCGACAAGTGTTCGGGCCTCCGCCAAAAGCTCACCTGCAAGCAGTACAACCGAGGTCGTGCCATCACCGACCTAAAATTTCGAGTCGATGCTTACCTCTGCGTCTTGCGCACGCGCAATGTCAACTAACGAGCGAGCTGCCGGATGAACGACGTCCAGCAGTTTCATGATTGTCGCTCCGTCGTTGGAGATAACCGCTTTTCCTAAAAATGAACACAAATCTCTGATACCTAAAATAATTGGTGCTAATGGTACACAAACCTTTCGAATCGACGATCAATTTATCCGAACCAGAGGGTCCCAACGTTGTGCGCAAAATATCGACCACAGCCAGTGCAGCGGTGATGTTGGAAAGTAGCTGAGCCTTTCCTTGGCTCGTATCTGTACCGTCCTTCAGTAGTATCACTTGCGGATTCTATGGTAAAACATAGCTAGCCCCTACCATCATCATCTGCATTGGCATTTTATTATTTGGTGCGCCCAACATGTTGAAAATTTGCAAGCAATTTTATTCTTCTTTAAGTTAAATTGTGCATGTAAACTTTGGCTGCAAGTTTAATTTTAATTTATTGCAGAGCCTTACTATGCCTGCGGCCCAGACCCTGCTGGACGTCGCCATCATTGTCGGCATATGCCTTTCTTATACACCACAGGTGTGTATTACCATTTCTTTTCTAGTTTAAAAAAATAGTCCGCATGGGTAGTAGCTATGGACTGCATCCACTTTCCGTACTGCTTGGTCTGCTCTCTCTCACTTGTACACTTGCAAACAATCTTATTATGCGCCTTCCTTTTTTACTAGGGTGCCTTTCAATGGTATGAAGTTGAACCAAGTTTATTTCAGAACTCCATCTGGACATGCGTTGGGGCGCTCCTTCCCTTCTTTCAAGTAGTCATGCAGTTTATAATGGCGCTCATATTGTAAGTGGTAAGACTGATTCTCTACGTAGGGCTATCGTTTACTGTTGCTATTTTCCAGTAGAAAAAAAGACCGTTCCTACGCTTATCGATCTGAATACTTTTTACCCGATGGGGATTAATGCTCATTATATGGGCGCCAGTCCTCGCACTAAAGACGGCGCCACAGTTCCCAGCTTTTACGGATCATTTTCTGAACAGGGATGCTTTCGCGATTTTAATTCCTGCCGCCAACATACACATCGTAAAGTTTCTGCCGAATGGCGTCAAATACAACGCTATATTAAAATCTCTGGGGGCATCTTTTTTTTTCTGTCTCTATCCATTGGGGGGCTTCTTGCTCTCCTTGGCGAGAGGCATTTTGTTGTACGTCTATATGGGACGTCGCTAGGTGTAATTTCTATGATTCTGGCAATCTGGCAGTACATTCCTCAAATTATGGCCGTCTGGCACAACTCTGCCATCGGTTCGCTTAGTATCTCGGCGATGCTAATCCAAGTACCAGGTATTTATTGAAATTTTTATTTCTCCCACCCCTTTTTTGATTTCCATTTATTTGCCAGGATCAATTTTGCTTCTTGCTTGCCAGATGCTGGATAAGCACTCCCATTTTTCTTCATGGTTGGGGTACCTCTGCTCCTCTATTTTACAGCTTGTCCTGCTGTTAACATGCATCCAATCTAAAAGATACGAGCTTAGACCTTTGACAGCCTGTCACGATCCATTTGCTGAAGACGAGACTGGCGCTACCCAGAGGCCAGCCCTTGTAAAAAGCCTTCGCGATGAGCTTTTTCCCTTGCTCTCGCCCACGATTGCGTAATTTTGAACATTATTTAAACAGACCTGCTTTGGCAGCAGCCATATCCTCATGTAAAACTAAAATTCTTTCCCATCAACACTCCCTTCCAATGTAATAAAAGCAAAACAAGCTCAAATCCTGCGCTTATTATAAGCTTGAAAGCTAAAAAGTATCGTTATTTTGCAGATGCTTCGCTTTTGTCTTTCTTTAGACATCACTTATGGTCTTTCGTTTGAGGAGGCTACCCTTCAACCGAAAATCGGTAATCTTTTATTTACCAAAGCACTGTAGAAGGTGAATTTTTTTAACCCAATTCTAGCTTTTCTGAAATTGGAGAATTTCTGGGATCAGACCCCTCTATGATGGGGGGAGATTGACGATGGAAGCGAGAGTAATATATGCATTGGGAAAGGAGGATTCCTTGACTTGTTCCGCTAATTAAATATGAGATCCACATCGAGTAGTCGCTATCCGGCCTCAATGCCAAGGAGACAATCAGAAGAAAGGTGCCTGGAGTTTGGAGCGCCATTGCAGGGATACTGAGAGCGCCTACCTCTTTTATTTTCCACGTTTTATAGATTTGAGGTGCACATTGGCAAGTTGTTAGAATCAGCGAAATAAACCCAAGGATCCGGGCCCATCGCAAAAGCAGCGTTTCCGGAGATGCAGCGAATAGTTTTATGCAAATTGAGATTGTCGAAATGGAGGCAAGAAAGCACAAATTGATCATCAGTAAGAAGACAAGTTTACGCCACTCACGACCATTAATTCTGCATTCTCGCGGGAAATAAATAATGTAAAGCGCATACCTGCAAGTGAGGTTAAAAATATCCACTTACAGAAAAAAAAACATTGAAACTTGAGTAAGAATCTGGGCAAAGCCAAGCATTCGTAACATACATGTGACGATGTTCTGGGGAAAACAGAAACAAGCCTTTTTACCTCCTGGATACAGCAAATAAATAGGGACCATTGGATGATTATTGAAGTTACTAGCGTACTTGAGCTGCTACAAACTCCGAGCAGGAAGTAGTAGTGGGAATAGCCCGTAGATGAGCGTAGCTTTATTATTCTATAATGCTTTGTAGTGTGGAAGGAACAACTGCGTACCTTCGGCGCATATGAACAAATAACTGCCAAAATCATAAATACGGATAAGATGTTGACCCAAAGGGAAGCAATCTCTCCGTCCCCACATTGAGGATTATCTTCAAAGTTCAGATTGGAGGAGAACGTTCCCATGGCTATAGGGACAACAAAAAACTCAGATGTCAATTAAAATGAAAATTTACCGATTTTGTTGCATGTGATTTTTCTGAAGCTCCCATTGATGAGGGTCATTATCCAAAGGGTGTCTCGAGCCTCGATTTCATTCGCTCAAAATCCGGAGAAAATAGTATGCTCCATTGGAAAGGGTTACGTAATTCTTGTCGGCATACATACCAGAGATACAGAGTGTGACATTGCTGAGCTGGTACCCAAAATTCTGAATATAAAGTTATTTTCGGACGCAAGTGGAAACCATACTGGGCTTGAGGAAAAATCTAACCAAAAATCCCGTTGGAAAAGATCAATTATCGATGAAGAAGGCGAAATTGTTCTCGCTTCTCAGTTTACTCTTTACGCAATAGCAGGGAAAAGTAAGCTAAACACCTTTCTAATGCGTCGAAAAAGAAGGCCGAGCTCCGGATTTTCACAATGCCATGAATGCAGATGATGCAAAGATTCTGTTTGAAAAATTCGCGCATGAATGTAAAAAGGCGTATGGTGCAGACAAAATTTTCAGTATGTTTACGCTGCGTTCTAATTTTTAGCCGGGGTATTTCAGGAGCATACGCTTATAAGCCTTACGAATGACGGTCCCGTGACGATCACTATTGAGTCAACGTCTTACTTAAAAGAAGCAGGTGCATTACTGAAGTAAAAATAAACTGTTTATAAAGTTGTTTTTTGGCTTTTTATGTATTGATATGATTGTGAGCAAAGGGCATGATAAATTGCTAACTTCAAAAGATTACAAATTTTCACAAGACTGCAATAAATAAATGGAAAAGCCCCTTGAAATGTGTTTTTAATTTTTGAAGTGCATGACCCAAAAGCCTGCTTTGCATTACAAGAAGCTGAACGAAATTAACGATTGGATTTCAAAAGGCCTATCCACTGCAAAGAGCTCCACTTTGTGTCTATCTGGGCCATCTGGCACTGGAAAAAGATTTGTTCTCCAATATTTGTCTCATATTGTTGGGTTTACTTTGCAAAAAAATTTCATTTCCTCAATGGCTTTTAGAAGGACTTTATACACCAGAATCTAACGCAAATGCAATCGGGTCCTTTTTGCAGTCTATTTTTCTATTTTCCTCTTCCAATGCTATCAACTTTGGACCGCCAGATGAAATCGATGATAGCCATCCTATTGCAGCCAAGGCCGGGAAAATTTTCGTGATTGACGATTTTCCTTTTCACGTTGAAACCGCCATTCGCTGCTTGTTTTCGTTTTTAGGTGGTTCATTTTTTGTTAAAAGCCAAGCATTTACCATTATTCTCGTTTATACGGAAATAAATTTCAAGGAAGACCGCATGTTCTTTGAGTACTGCTCGAAAGCAAATTTCGCTGTCATTAAGATGTCGCCCATTCCTGCTAGTTATATTGAAAGGGTGCTCAACATCAAATTTAGCCGTTCCAATGTCAAGCGCAATGTCTGCACAAAGAGCAACTTGATTAAGGAAATTTCGCATTCTAGTAATGGGGATATAAGAATGGCTCTAAACGCCTTTGATTTTTGGTGTTTATTGCCTAGCTTTGAAGACCTGGAATATGTTGCCGATAGATTCTTCCGCTCACATAAGACACTTTATCACATTCTAGCATATCTATTCTTTGGCTTAAATGGCCCCACTGGCGGTATCACTTCTGACTCAAACAAATGGCAGTCTTTTGTCAAGTATTACCACCACTCTAGGCGATACGTATCTTCTGATAACATTCTAGCTTGGATTTGGGAAAATGCTCCCCTATTTTTAAGCACCGATTCGATTTCGTTTCTTCATGTCCTTTTAGAGGCAGCTTCTGATTGTTCATTTGTATTTGATTGCTTTCAAGTACCCTTTTATGCAATTAACAATTTAGGACAGCCGAGACATCGATGATGTCGCTCAAACGATACTACTGCTACCGGCTTCTTTTTTATTAGGACAAAGACCTGGGCCGCAAGCCTTTTTCTTCCCCAAAGAATTATCTAATTTTGTCACTCCTCGGATTTTCTTTCATTCAGATCGCACTAGGAATTTCCACACATCCTCAACTGATACAGAAACAGCCCACGGCGTGCCCAATGTTAGCGCAAATGATTACCATCTCCTTTCATAATTTAAATATTTATTTTTTGCGTCATAAATGGCTATTTAATTTTGCGCAAAGGATCTCGAGACAGCCTTTTCTTTTTTAGCTTGGAATGGTTTGTAGCAGAAAAAGCCGTTGTTTTGGAGAGGGAATATTTGAACTCAGAATCTAACTTTGGCAAAGATATTCCCCTGGCCGAAGTGGATAGAAGATAATCGGGAATATGCTTCAGATGTGATTTGTTTTTCTTGGATCGAAGATCTTTGTCCTGCCTGAGAGATTTCAGGTCAAGAGGATTGGCTTCAAAGTGGTTTTTTAGTTTTTCGGAAATGGAAATGTGATTTTTCAAATCATTCACCTTGGATTCGTTGAGACAATTTGCAGTTATCCCAGACAACACATCCATCGCTCTATAGCGGAGACCTTCCACCTGAGCGATATCAAATAAAAAAGGTTTCATTTCAACTTGATGCTTCTTTAAAAACTGTACAATTCCTTCAAAGTCTGAGGCCTCCGAATCGCTCTTCAGGGAAAGGGTTGTCCCGTGTGCAATATTTCTTCCGGTTCTTCCAGCACGGTGACAATATGCCTTGACCGTGGTGGGGATATCAAAATTAATCACCACGGAAAGGCCTTTGAAATCGATTCCTCGGCTTACCCCGAACTCGTCTTCTGCCAATTTTTGGGGCTTTTTCGGCTTCAAGTCGACCTGATCAACAGCAATGATACAGTCAAATTTGCCTCGGTTAGCCTCTTCGATGATGTTATACCGAGATGTGAAGGGCAGCTCCCCATTTAGTACGCAGGCTTTAATGTAAAATGCCTCCAAAAACAGTTTCAGCCTATATGCAGTATCAGAGGAATTGGTGAAAATTAGGATTCTTCCCGAGATCAGTTTGAATTTAAAAAGAACTAAAGTCAATAGAAATTTATCCTCAATCGTATCAAGATGCAAGAAAAAGTGGGAAATTGAGCCCTTTTGGGTTGACTCTTCAGAATGTGATTCCTCTTGCAGCTTAATAATGACCTAATGTTAATATTGTAGCCGTACCGGTTTAGATAGGAATTTTTTTTTCAAGCAATCGATTTCCTCATCAAGGGTGGCAGAAAGAAGAATTCGAGTGCAAGTTTGCGGTATGGCCGCAAGGATACTGTCAAGGTCATTTTGGTAGCCAATTCCTAGGATAAAATCAGCTTCATCAATAACGAAATATTTGAAACAAGCTACATTAAGATTGATCGCCTAAAAGAACAATGTAAATCAAGAAATACCTTGTTATTTATAAATTTACAAAGAAGAGACGGGGTAGACAAAACAATAGAAGGCTGTAAAGATAACAAAGATTTTTTGAATAATTCTGAAGAATCTGCACACAAATTAACGAGTTGAATTTCATTAGGGCAATAGCGCATAATGGAATTAAAAACCCCCAAAACTTGCTGGGCCAAATCCCTGGTGGGCACTAGAATAATTCCGCGGATTCCCTGATTAGAAATCTAAGATAAGAACAGTAAAAGGCAAAGCGTACCTCCTTTTGCGAACCCACGGCCGATGCCCATTGTAAGCATTCTTTCAAAATAGGAAGAACATAGAGAAGGGTCTTTCCAGATCCAGTTTTTGCGTGAACAAAGATATCTAAATTTTGTTTCAAAATAATCGGAAGACCATGGGCTTGGATGGGAGTTGGCTCTAGATAACCTGCCTTCAAAAGAGCCTTTTCAAGGCAAATGTCAAGCGACAACTCGGCAAAGCTTGGCAAACTCATTTGTTATGTAAAAACAAAATTCCAAAAATTTAACTAAAATTTAAGTAAAATTTAATTGTTTACGCCATGCAACGGGTACTCCTCCTCAATGGGAGGTTTCTTTTCCCGACGCGGCCCGAATATACTGCAGCAATAGCAATGAAAAGCATAAAGCGTGGGATTTTTTTTACCGGGAAAAAACACTATACACTTAATCTGCCTGTTAAAAGCTACATAGAATCAATAGAGGCGCCTACCTTTACTACCATGTTGACCCATTCACTTTCCCTAAAATATCGCCAATCAGAATACTTTTCTCGCATACAATCGATATATAAATTTTGTGACTCTATGATGACTCTGCTAAGGGGCGCGTTTGCACAAAAAGATTCGACATCTAACGATCTTTTTGTTGAAAAAAGTTTACAGAAACTTTGTGTGTTGAAATCTTTGTCTTTGAAAGCATCATATGGTGATGATCTTTGCACTACCGACGTCGAAAGCTTATTTGGTGATACGGAGGCCGAATTTGAAGCCTTTTTATCTGTTTTCAATACACATTTCCGGCAAGATACTTTACTTCGGGATTCCTTCACCTTTTCGGAATCAACGTATTTGGAAATTCTAAACATGATCTCCAAATATTCTCTTATAAATTCGCTAGCTCTAGTGTCTTTTATGCAAAATATTTTCCGATTTGCCTTCCCTTGCGACAGTCAGCAGGAAACACAACTTCTCCTGTTAGCTCACGATGAGTTTCAACACAGTCCACTATTATTTTCTGCGCCACAGGTGGAAATGGCAAAACTATTTGTCATACAAACAATAGCCAATTGCAAGTTCCATCTTCTTGAGCCATATCTAAAGTGCCTTGTTTTTTTAGGTACAAATTTTTGTTTCACTCTTAGATGCCAATAGGATTGCCATTTTGCGTCCAAATTCACCTTTTCTTTTGGCCATACGAATTCTTGAAAAATCACAAACTGATTTCACGGAAATTTTCAACACTTTATTTTTCAAAGTCGCTATGAACTCTTCTAGCAGCAATTTTTTTTCGAGAAAGAAAATTTTCCTCTATGAATTGCTCGGCCAAGCATTGCACACTAGGAGTTCATTCGATTCGGAAAATACCCTTATTAGTGATAGCTTAAAGCTGGTGCCTTGTTTTACAGCAAGCCTTTTTCAACTCATTTTTTATTATCTCTTTGAGCTAATGCCACAGCGCGAAAAAGACGGCCTTTCAAAAGATATAACACAATTTTTTAAAGAAATTAGAAAATCTGGAAAGGCATCTCTTCTTGCGTATGTAATATACTTCAAATTTGTCAAGTCTAAGGGCACCGTCGAGGAAATCCGGTTTTTGGAAGCTGAAATGAATTCCAAGCATTGGGTTGCAGAGATTGATAAGATCAGAGAGGCTTCTGATATCATTCCCCAAGGCAACCCTGAACTATTGGCCAATGTTCACTATTTTCTACAATATTTGATAGACGAGCCACTCCCCAATTCACTTCGCCTGTTCTCGAATTTCAATTGCCTTGGCTCGATATTCATTCCTCTGTCAACGGTCGATGCAAGAGACATCATTCTGATCTCTGCATATTCAAAATTGAAGCTATGGGCCGATATTTATCGAATCTATTCCAATGTCAAAACAGAAGGTCGACTGGATATTCCAGCATCTGGAATTGTTAGATCTCCAATATTCCATCTTTCGCTTTCCACGATAATCTTTAAAAATGTCCTTAATAATATTTCGTGGAATGAGGTCATACCATACCTTGAATTCCCATCGCCCTTGCTTTCGCGTGAGGGCTTTAGAATAATTTATACGCATCTTTATTCAAAGCTATTCAACCTCCTTATTTCTTATGATAAGTTTTTGCTTATTCAATCGATCGTCATTATTCCACGGTCTCTGTTTATCAAAGACGATTATATTCTTCCATGTATCCTTTCAACATTTGCATGCTCCTCGGGAAGGGGCCCACTGGGCCCTCCAAATCGAATTCTATTCTACAAATTATTGTCGAACCGCCTCGATATAGATATCATCTGTGAATCGTCGCCAACCCCACCCTCTAATCTGGCTGGAATTATAGCATCAGTCGACCCTCAGCTTTCCAATCTCCTACATTTCATAGAGCTCCATAAGATTCCATTAAGCCCCTCCAATTTTTTGAGCTTAATACTATCGCTTTTTAGGAGGCGGAGATATGATCTTGTCTGCCAGACATTCAATTTTAGAAATTCGCATTATAAGCAAGAATCTTATCTACATTATATATATCTGGCATCGGCCCTCAAAAATAGAGAATATGGAATAGTGAGAACAGTGATCAACGAAAAAAGTAAAAGCTTCCTGATTCCGGAGCAGAACCTATTGCAGGAATCTATTTCAAATCATGAGATTGGCTTAATATTGCCCTCTTCAATGTCGTCCGTGGCTGCTTTGGACAAATGGAGAGAACAGGGTCTCGTTTCAGATGCCGACTATAGTAGTTCTTTGGCTATTTGTCTCAATTATAATTTGGAAAATTTGTTTTATCTTCGAAGGTTCATATCGCTTCAGCAGCAAGATCGAGAACACGCCCCAAAAACTGCTAAAAATGACTTGAAAGCACGATTTCCAGATAGTGTTGTGCGGCTCTCTGCTATTCCAAATTATCTTCTAGAATATGAAAACAGATATTTTTCGATTAAGAAAAAACAAAATGTTATAGAGTCCGATGACGACGATGTAGAGGGTGAAGGCTTTTCCAATACCTATCTGTTGGACTCTGAAAATTTGTAATTTACACCTGGCATGGCGATTTCTCAAATTCCAATTTATTTAATTTTTAAGTAACTTTACAATTTAATGTTTATAATTTTTTTTGCCTTTTATGTCCATTTCATCTTGTTCCTCAACTTCGTTTGGTGAAGTGTTGTCACATAAGATACTAAACCAAATCGAGTTTTATTTTGGGGATTTGAACCTCTCTAAAGATAAATTTTTGCTCACCAAAATAAGCGAAACCGCCGAAGGATGGGTTCCCATTTCTGTTATCGCAGATTTTGGTCGCATCAAGGCACAATTGAATAATATCAATGAAGAACAAGAGAAATATGCAGCAATTAAATCAGCTTTATCCTCTTCATTGGTTGTTGAAATTAATGATCAAGGAAATTCTCTTCGAAGAAAAATTCCGCTCTCTACAACTAGAGATGATCTAAAGGCTACCTTGTATGTGAAAGGATTTCCAAAGAATACATCTCTTGATGAGTTGCAATTGTTTTTTGGCAAACTGTCTGAAGTTCCATTTGCAATCAGAATGCGCCGCTTTCAAGATGCGGACAAGCTGTTTAAAGGATCCGTATATGTTGAGTTTCTCACAGAAGCTGAAGTGGACCGCTTTTTGGCTTTGAATGCATGCCCGCCCTTTATTGATGAGCATGGAGAAAATCATCCGCTCTTCCTTCAGAAAAAAATTGATCATGTTATGAAAAAAAATCACGGAGAAAAAGGCGTTGGATCGTCTCCCCTGAAGGAAATTTCTAAAGATTCCATCATCAAGGTTTCCCCTATTCCCGAAAACGCGGATTGGAAGCTCATCAAGGATGAGCTTTCAACAAAATTGCCTATTTCTCGGGTGGTGGTTGACTCTGAGAATAAGATTGCTTTTGCTCTTCTTCGTGGCCCTATTGATGAGCAAAGTGAAGTTCCCCTTACATGGGCCTCTCAAGCCCTTCAAAAATGCCCCGATATTGCTTTTGGGGCACTTGATTCTACATTAAGCCTTCCCAGCGAAAGTGAATATGAAAGTGCAATTTCTTCTTTCGCAACGACGATAGGGAAGCCCAAACCCTTCGTCGCTTCGAGAAAAACAAGATTCTCCAAACGGCAAAAGGTGAACTAAATTTGACCTATCCTCTCTTTTTAATAAAATCAATAAACTTTCAATTTTTACAATTTGGGATGCTCCGCAAAAAGGTTGATGTCATCATCTTTGGTGCTACCGGATTTACAGGAAAATTCGTGCTTGAGGAGTTCCATCGCTACGCTTCCTTGCCGTTGAAAGATGCATCTACTGGTAAAGCTGTACCTACCTTTGCCGCTGCTGGGAGAAGTGAACAAAAGCTCAAAGGTTTTCTTGCTTTTGCATATGTTTGCTGTAGAACTAACTCTTGGTATTGATGCAAATATCCCGATCATCGTTGCCAATATTGAAGACAAGGAATCTCTTGAAAAAATGGCGGCTATGTGTCGTGTTCTAATTAATTGTGTGGGGCCTGTAAGCTTATTTTCGATGATGTCTAGTTTCGATTTTATGGCAAGTCTGTAATAGAGGCCTGCATCTCTATGAAATGCAACTATGTCGATATTAGCGGTGAACCTCAAGTATTTTTTACCTTTTATTTTCTAGTTTATGGAAGAGTGTTTGATCTTGTATAATGACCTCGCCATTAAGAGCAATGTATCGATTATCTCTGCGTGTGGATTTGATTCCATTCCAGCCGATATTGGGGTCTTTTTCACGTTGAAGAACATTCTGAAAGAAAAAAGTAGGAAACCCCTTTCAGTGGAATCTTTTATTGAGGTGGAGAATTCTATGGGAATGCCGGTGAAGGGGCATTTCACCAGCTTCGAATCGGCTGTACATGGTTTCTCAAGCCACGAAAATCTAAATGACTTGCGTCAGAGAGTTCCTTCTTTTGATAAAAAGATCCCCGACTCCACCACAATAGGCGGCGAAACATTCCAGAGAAAACGATGGCCTTTTTACGAAGATCGAATTGGAAAGTGGTGTGTCCCATTTCCTGGCTCAGATCCATCAATTGTTCTTATAATTATGTGATCATTCTAGGTTCGTCGCTCGATTTCTGCTCTTGTTGCCCAGAATTACACATGCAACTTTCCATATGCTGCCTACTTTGCCGTAAATTCATTTTACTCGCTAGTTGGGCTTGTGCTTTTTTCTAGCATCTTTTATTTGTTGACTAGATTTCAATGGGGTAAATCTTTGCTGTTGAAGGTTACATTTACTTGTGCTTTCTCCATAGTATCCGTCTTTTTTTACGGGAGGAGTCTTTTCTCATGAAGGTCCAACTCGCGGTGAAATCGATACTACCCGTTTCAGCATCAAATTTTATGGCTCCTCCGTTTTGGAGGATGGAAGTGAGCCAAAAACATTTCGTGCAGTTCTTACGGGGCCTGGTTGTGGAGCCTTTGCTAATTACTAGAACCAGGATATAGAGCTACGCCAGCCTGCATCACGCTTGCAGCAATGACGATCCTTGAAGAAGAGGTAACTGTCTGTAATTAATGCGCCTAGCACAATATCCCAAAGGGCGTTATTACCCCAGTAACTGCATTTAAAGATACCAGCTTTATTGAGAGGTTCCAGAGCAGTAGTTTAACGTTGCGGATGGACGAATAGAATATTTCAAAATAAAATCACATGAAGACTAAGCGTAAACCAAGTCGATTTATTAAAGGATAAACCTTGACAAAAACCATTTGCGAAAAAGGATCGATCACCCTTGGCAGAAAAATTCTTGACAAAGTCCTTTCAATTCCTTTTTTCGGATCAAAAAACTCTTAAATGGGAAAGGTTAGAAAACGCCTCCTTCATCAACTCTGGAGTTAGAGGGCACTTTTCCGAAGGCGCATAAAAAAGACTGTTCGCCCTCAAAGAGTCCAGTTGTACATCTGAATAGCGGGAAAATGTTTCAGCAATAGATAAGGTCGAATTCTGTGTTGGGTGGGGCTGGCTTTCTTTCCGTCGTCTATTTCTAAGGGCAAGAGCCTCAATGGTAAGCTTTCGCAAGAATTCCCAAAGCAAAAAGCCGACAATATCTAGAAGATCATCAGAGGGCTTATAGCGCTCGTGGAATCCAAGCCAATCTTTGAATTTTTTTGCCTTTTTGTATGTAAAAGAGGCCTGTCGACACTCGGCAAATTCGATGTATTCCTCTTTGGACATTTTTCTTGTTAGAATATCGGCTTCCTAGCAATGTAAGAAAGATCTTCACAATCGAACAGTATTGAAAGATAAATTGTGATATGTAGATATATATATACCTCCAAACGATCGCGAAATTCTTGATGGAATTCCGCCATGTCTTCCTCATCTTCTGATTGATCCGAGTCGCAAATGCTAGTAAGACAACGGGGAAACTCCCACTGAAAATGAATGTTCTTTTTGCGAATTGGAACATCGCGATCCTCGGAAACTCCTACAGTAATTCTGGTAGGAGATACCTGAGGCATATATATATCTACATATCA